TGCCAGGGCTCCTGGGTTCTTGCCCTGGCTGGTAGGGGGAGGGGGTTTAACCTGCAGGCTCCCGCCCCCATGTTCTCCGCACTTTCCCCTGCGCCCGGCTCGGATGAGCCATCCCTTATTCACGGCTGCTCCGTTATCTCCTCTCGACTCAGAGCCACATCACCGGCGCGCCAAGGATCCAGCAGCCAGACGGAGCCTGGGGCGCCGCAGGCCGGGGAGGAGGCTCTCACAGCTGGTGTGGGAGCAATACCCAGCCAGCCCCAAGCCCAGCCGGATCTGGGCAGCGCTCGGCCCCACGGGGCCTGATCCCATCCGGGTCTGGGCAGGGCCTGGCACAGCATGGGTATAGGGAGGGGGCTATCTCAGTTGGAGTCTGCCATGCTTGACACTGTGGGGCCTTGAGGCCAGATGGGAGCTGGCATTTCCTAGAGGGGAAAGACCCCATTTCCCACACTGGTGCTGCATGAATCATGTGAAGTTCCCCTACAATGGGGCCAGCTGGGAATTCCCGGAACAGGTCATGTTGCATCTTCAGTTCCCGAATCAACACCCATTAGCTCACCCCCCAGCGCAGCCCAATACAGATACCGACCCTGGTTTCCTCTCTCCATTGGATACACTTCCTGCCGGGCACTGCTCCATTGTGTCTCCAGAACCAGATGCTGGAGCTGCCAAGGCTTTTCTCTGGGACCTGGGCAGGGCTTGGCCTCACGGGGAAGTGGAAATGGAGGGATGACAGCTCCTGTGGCTTACATGCACCTTCCCACTCCTGGGCCTGTCCTGAAATCTGCAGGTCCCGGAGTCACGTGAGACTGGCCCAGCCCTTTCTCACCCCACACTGTAGAGGGCACAGCTAAGACACAGCGTCCAAACCAGGGAGCCAGGTGGGGCAGTCACACCCTAAACTTTCAGTAGGAAAGGGGGGATAGAGTCCTAATGTGTCTTTACATACAGCTGGGGTTTTGCTCCCAAACTCTGTCTTTGGGGTTTGGCTGGCTGGAAATTTTAAGTCGAAACTCATTTGAGGGCTGAAGGGTCTGAAATTTGCCTGAAAACTCAAGTGACCCCCTTCCCCCCCCACTCTGCACTCACTTCCCCCTATCAGAGGAGGTGGCCTTTTGCAAGGAGGGGAGCTCCCTATGCATGGTGCAGGGGCCTGGTTGTGCCATCAGACAGGAACTCATCCCTGGGACAAGGGAGTCTCTGGCATAGCCTGGGCCTGGGGGATGGGATGGAGAGGCACATTAAGGTGGGGAGGGGCTCAGTTTGGTCTGTCCAGAAGCCCTGGGGGGATTGATCAGTCATAGATAGATGGCTAGACAGACAGCCCTGTGTGGCCCAGAACCACAGGGCCCAACCCAACCCAGGGAGGGCGGTTTAGATTTCCCATCTGCTCTGCTGCCTGCCATGTCCCTGCCCCACACCTGTCCTACACCCCACATTTTGTGCCCCCATTCCCCAGCCCCCCCTTTCTCCCAGCACATGGTCCTCAACGAGACCTGGTGTCCATGTGCAGAGGCTGGGCCCACATGTGGCTTCCAACGTGCTGGAGGCTCACACGGCTGAGTCACGTCCCACAGGGCCTGGAGTCCAAATCGGGCTGAGTCACAGCCTGGGGGTGTTCCCAGAGTGTGCTGGGACTCAAATGGGCCCCCAGCACAGCCCTCCCTTCCTCCCTGCCAGCCCCAGAGCACATTGTCCCCTTCTGCCCCCCACGCAGAGTCACCGGCTCTGAAACAAAATCCATCTCTTTATTGAAGGTTGGGGTCAGACAGACAGAGCCCCCTGTGGGGCTTCTACGGACCTCAGAGGTGCCCGGGCAGCACAGCTAGCCCCCTCAGGAATCCAGCCCTGCACCAAGCAGTCTGGCAGGGCCTGATCTGGGGGGAGGGATCCCCTCCTGCCCCCCATGTCCTGCCAAGTCCCTCATACCCATCCCCCCCCCCCCCCACCGCTA